GAAAGACGAGCTTCCATTGTGGGCATGCCGAGCCCCAAGGTTGCCCCTTTCCTATTGGCGCAGCTGCTGACTTTCCTCCATGCAAGCTTCCAGCTTGCTTACCTGTTTGCAGATCAATTTTTCAGGCTGCTCTTCGTTAGAACAAAATGATATTTTGGGCAGCTTTTTGTTAGAAGGGAAGCTCTGCAGAGGAGTTTTTGCCCTCACTATCTGCCTAAATAATTTCTTTCTACCTCCTGTATCAGTTGGATATGGCAAGGATGACCCAACTGATAGGATGAACTTTCACCACGGCAGAATTTTCAATTCACTTTACGTGCATTCTGAAAGTAACTAGAAAAGATACTTTTTATTGGCAAATTGTAAGGGTTTTGTTTGTTTGTTTTGAGACAGTCTCACTGTGTCACCCAGGCTGGAGTGCAGTGGTATGATCCTGACTCACTGCAACCTCCGCCTCCCAGGTTCAAGCAATTTTCCTACCCCAACCTCCTGAGTAGCTAGGATTACAGGTGTGTGCCACCACGCCTGGCTAATTTTTGTATTTTTAGTAGAAATGCCATTTCGCTATGTTGGCCAGGCTGGTCTCGAACTCCGGTCCTCAAGTGATCTGCCTGCCTCGGCCTCCCAAAGTGCTGGGATTACAGGTGTGAGCCACCATGCCCAGCCAATTATAAGGTATTTTAAAATTATTTATTATTTTTTTGAGACGGAGTCTTCAGTCTGTCACTCAGGCTGGAGTGCAGTGGCACTATCTTGCCTCACTGCAACCTCCGTCTCCTGGGTTCAAGCAGTTCTCCCGCCTCAGCCTCCCAAGTAGCTGGGATTACAGGCATGCACCATTACTCCCAGCTAACTTTTTTTTGTATTTTTAGTAGAGATGGGGTTTCACCATATTGGCCAGTCTAGTCTTTAACTCCTGACCTGTTGATCCGCCTGCCTCAGCCCCCCAAAGTGCTGGGATTACAGGCATGAGCCACCGTGCCCGGCCCTATAAGTTATTTTATACCTTTTCTTTGTTTTCTCTTTCTGTCAGGTATGGTTAGAAAACCTATAACAGAGAGAGTCTTCAGAATATATTTGGATTTATTGTGGAGTCCTAATTAGGGAAAAGGAGTCTGGCTAGTGGGAACAGGGGGAAAGCAAAGAGATAAGGCAAATAAGCTATTTTAAAACTTAAACATTGAGTTACCATATCATCCAGCAAGCCTAGTGCTGGGTATACATGCAAAATAAAAGAAATCAGTATATGAAAAAGATCACTGCACTACCATGTGTGTGCACTCCTGTTCACAATAGCCAAGATTTGGAAGCAACCTAAGTGTCCAGCAACAGATAAATGGACACAAAAAAAGTGGTGCTTACACACAACGGACCAATGTTCAGCCATCAAAAAGTATGGTATCCTGTCATTTGCAAAAACATAGAGGCAACTGGAGATCTTTTTTTTTCTTTTGCTGAGACAGAGTCTCTCTCTGTCACCCAGGCTAGAGTGCAGCAGTGTGATCTCTGCTCACTGCAACCTCCACCTCCTGGGTTCAAGCGATTCTCCTTACTCAGTCTCCCGAGTAGCTGAGATTACAATCGTACACCACCACGCCCAGCTCAATTTTGGTGTTACTTTTGTTCATATTCCCCACATTTATTTCACAGTACTTTTTATATCGTTACTATATGTGTATTTTTATTTTATGTAAATTAAAATGCATGCCATGTGTTCATTTGGGACATAAGAGAAAGACATTTAGAAGAATAAAAGTTACACTTATCAATAGGGATGCAGGTTTGTCAGAGTGTGAAACTGCACTGCTATGGGATTCTCATCATGTTCACATAAGTAACCTAAGGCCGACTGCAGAGAGGATAACTGAAGTGGAAGGCGTGATTGTATGTTCTCAAATTGTATGATGTTTAATTCCATCATAAAATAAAACTGTAGATCCTTCAGCCTTAGCAACCTGATGGTGCATTGTTTGTGTTTAGACATGAAGGATCCTATAGAGGTGAGATAAAGCTATGCAGGTAGATGGGACATAATTAACTCATAGTTATAAAAAAATAAATTTTATTGACACATGAAATTTATGATACATTCTAAATAAAACAATAGAAAATGTAGCCTGGCCAACACAGTGAAACCACATCTCTACCAAAAAATACAAAAATTAACCGGGCATGGTGGTGGTGTGCATGTAGTCCCATCTACTAGGGAGGCTGAGGCAGGAGAATTGCTTGAACCTGGGAGGCGGAGGTTGCAGTGAGCCATGATCGCTCCATTGCAATCCAGCGTGGGTGACAGAGTGAGACATTGTCTCAAAAAACAAACAATAGAAAATGTAATGCTGGCAGTTTAATGGGATTCCTAATCAAGAACATGCTATTGTGGTTTTTTTTTTTTTTTAAAATAATTAAACTCTCCTCTTTGGACCAGATACAGTGGCTCACACCTGTAATCCCAACACTTTTAGGAGGCCAAGCAGAAGGATCACTTGAGCTCAGGAGTTCAAAACCAGTCTGGGACACGTAGCGAAACCTCGTCTCTACAAATAGAAAAAAAGAAAAAAATGCTAAAAAATCCTCTTCTCTGTGATAACTATTCTTTTCAATTTCAAGATTAAGACCAGTTTTTCCTCAATCTTGCTACATGACAGCTACTGCCATTCAATGGAGATGTGGCTAACATTTCCCCTGCATTACCTCTACTTTACATGTAATCACTTCCTATTAACGTATTAATCTCCTCCAGTAAAAACTGCAGTCTCTTGAGGTCTTGGATTGCTCTGTTTCATGATTGGTTAGTAGAGCATTTCTTTCCTATAATCCACACTGGCCCTCTCTGTGAAGAATGCCCTGTATGCAATAATATGACTGATATCACAGCTTTACATTATTCTCAGCCCCTTACAAATCTTAATTCAGCCATTTTTTTCCTTTTTTTTTCTCTTTGAAATACTCTGTCATCCAGGCTGGAGTGAAGTGGCACAATCTAGGCTCACTGCAACCTCCGCCTCACGGGTTTAAGTGATTCTCCTGCCTCAGCCTCTCATAGCTGGGATTACAAGCGTGCGTCACTATGCCTGGCGTGTTTTTGTATTTTTAGTAGAGATGCGGTTTCACTTTCTTGCCCAAGCTGGTCTCGAACTCCTGATCTCAGGTGATATACCTGCCTCGGCCTCCCAAAGTGTTGGAATTACAGGAGTGAGCCACAATGCCTGGCCCATTGTTTTTGAGGAGCATCACAGAAGCACATACGTAGGCAACAATCTCCATCTGGTTGTTTCCTTTTCTTTGTGTGTGTGTTTTTGTTTTGTTTTGTTTTTGTTTTTTTGAGATGGAGTCTCACCTGTCACCCAGGCTGAAGTGCAGTGGCGCAATCTCAGCCCACTGCAAGCTCCGCCTCCTAGGTTCAAGCAATTCTCCTGCCTCAGTCTCCCGAGTGGCTGGGATTACAGGTGCCAGCCACAATGTCTGGCTAATTTTTGTTATTTTTAGTAAAGATGGGGTTTCACCATGCTGGCCAGGCTGTTCTCAAACTCCTGACCTCAAGTGATCTACCCATGTCCGCCTCCCAAAGTGCTGGGATTAGCCAATATTCAGCCAATATTTAATTTCAAAAGATAGTGTCCCTGTTTCACAGGAATATGGAGAGAAATGATCTCACCTAATGAAGTAGGCCATTTTTTCCTATTCTTGCCTATAGATCATGAAATGACTAAGAAAGACATCATAAAAACATTTCTAATGTCAGCTTAAAAGTTAACATTGGTAAAGAAGTCTTTCTCCTTCAATAATGTAATCAATTATTTTATGACCTGAAGGTAACTGGCCATTTCCAAATGTCTTTGAGTCTTTGATGTATGTCATGACTTTTAACATATTTTGAATTGTAATTATTCTGCAGAATGTAATATAAAAGATTAATGGCAGAGAATTAGACTTCCTATGAGCTCTCAGATGGATTATAGTCTGTGAATTGGTTAATTTACTATATCACTACATTTGTTTGTTCCACTATATATATATATATATATATTTTTTTTTTTTTTTTTTGATTGGGGTTTTCTCTTTTTGCCCTTTTTTATGTTTTGTGTGGGGTTCTCAGTTCACTGCAGGCTCGCCTCCCAGGTTCAAGTGATTCTCCTGCCTCAGCCTCTCAAATAGCTGGGATTACAGGCACCCACTACCACACCTGGCTAATTTTTGTATTTTTAGTAGAGATGGGGTTTCACTATGTTGGTCAAGCCAGTCTCAAACTCCTGACCTCATGATCCACCCAACTCGGCCTCCCAGTGTGCTGGGATTACAGGCGTGAGCCACCACACCTGGGATCCACTATGAATTATTTTTTGAGACAGAGTCTCACTCTCTCGACCAGGCTGGAGTGCAGTGGCACGATCTTGGCTCACTGCAACCTCTGCCTGCCAGGTTCAAGCAACTCTCCTGTCTCAGCCTCCCGAGCAGCTGGGACTACAGGCGTGCATGCTACCCCCAGCTATTTTTTGTATTTTTAGTAGAGACAGGGTTTCACCATGTTGGTTGGCAGGATGGTCTCAATCTCTTGATCTCATGATCCACCCGCCTCGGCCTCCCAAAGTGCTGAGATTATAGGAATGAGCCACTGCATCCAGCCCTCCAATATGAATATATATATATATATTTTTAAAAGACGGAGTCTTGCTCTGTCGCCCAGGCTGGAGTGCAGTGGCGCAATCTCGGCTCACTGCAAGCTCCGCCTCCCGGGTTCATGCCATTCTCCTGTCTCAGCCTTCTGAGTAGCTGGGACTACAGGCACCCACCACCACACCCGGCTAATTTTTTGTATTTTTAGTAGAGAGGGGGTTTCACCGTGTTAGCCAGGATGGTCTCGAACTCTTGACCTTGTGATCCGCCTGCCTCGGCCTCCCAAAGTGCTGGGATTACAAGCGTGAGCCACCGCGCCCGGCCTCCACTATGAATTTTTAATGAACCATGAGAATGCATCTTAGACTAGTGACCTTTCCAGATTTACTACATTTACTTGGTTTTTATTGAGTAGATCTCTCATGACAAAATAATGAATATTACACTGAAAGGCTTATTACATTCATTATCTTTGTGTAGTTACTCTCCAGTATAAACCCTGTGATGTTCCAGTTTTAATGCTTGGGTAAAAGCCTAAGCATGCACATTCCCTTTGTATGGTTTCATCAAAAAAGTTTTTGATGCCTAGTAAGACTATGGCCTGCAGGAAATCTCTATCACATATAATTATATAAAGGCTCTTTAGTATGGATTCTCTGATGTTGATGAATGTTTGAAGTCATAATGGTTTCCCACTCAGTGTTTTTGTTTCTCAAGTATGAAATTTTGCAATATTGTACAATGTGAGAGTTGTGCCAGAAGACCTTGCCACTTTCATTACATTTGTTAGGTTTCTCACCAGCAAGAATTCTTTGAAAAATCCTGATCTTAGACTTTTACCTTAAGGCCTTGCCACATTCAATACATTAGTAAAGTTTCTCTCCCCTATGGACTAAGCTAATGGTTATTAAGCCTTGAACAAAACTAAAGGCTCTGCTACATTCATTATACTTGCAAAGTTTTTCTCCAGTATAAATTATTGTATGTGTTGCAAGGCTTTAATGCTGACTGAACGCTCTGCCACATTAATTACATTTGTTAGATTTCTCTCCGGCATGAAATCTCTGATGACCAACAAGATACGAACTGTCGCGGAAGAGTTTGCCACATTCATTACATTTGAAAGGTTTCTCTCCAGTATGGGTCACATGATGATTAGTAAGGCTTGAACGCACACTGAAAGCTTTGCCACATTCCTTACATTTGTAAGGCTTCTCTCCAGTGTGAATTTTCCGATGATGTGCTAGGGATGAGTTTAGACTGAAGACCTTCCCACATTCATTACATTTATAAGGTTTTTCTCCAGTATGAATTCTCCGATGATATGCAAGGTATGAATTTTGGCTGAACACTTTGCCACATTCATTACATTTGTAAGGTTTCTCTCCAGTATGAATTCTGCGATGTTGTACAAGGTGTGAATTTTGACTGAATGCTTTGTCACACTCATCACACTTATAAGGTTTCTCACCAGTATGAATTAGCAGATGTTGGGCAAGGTATGAATTGCGACTGAAGACCTTGCCACATTCATTACATTTGTAAGGTTTCTCTCCAGTATGGATTCTCCAGTGATTTGCTAGGGATGACTTGTGACTGAAGACCTTGCCACATTCGTTACATTTGTAGGGTTTCTCTCCAGTGTGAATTCTCCGATGTTGTGCAAGGTGTGAAATATGATTGAAGACCTTTCCACATTCATTACATTTGTAGGGTTTGTCTCCAGTATGAATGATCAGATGTTGTATAAGGTAGGAATTGCGACTGAACACCTTGCCACATTTGTTACATTTGTAAGGTTTTTCTCCAGTATGAATTGTCCGATGTTGTGCAAGGTGTGAAATTTGATGGAATACCTTTCCACATTCATTACATTTATAAGGTTTCTCTCCAGTATGTATTCTTTGATGTTGTGCAAGGTGTGAAATTTGATTAAAGACCTTGCCACATTCATTACATTTATATGGTTTCTCTCCAGTATGAATCCTGCGATGCTGTGCAAGGTGTGAAATATTATTGAAGACCTTGCCACATTCATTACATTTATATGGCTTCTCTCCAGTATGAATTCTTCGATGACTTGCAAGGTTTGATTTTTTATTGAAGCTCTTGCCACATATATCACATTTAAGCTGCTTCTCCTCAGTATGGATTATTTGATGTATAGTAAAATGTAAGCCTTGGTGAAAGGACTTGCCACATTCATTACATTTGTAGTGTTCTGTCCCAATGTTTGCTTTCTCTTTTTGTGTGAATAACGAATCCACAAAATTATATTCATGTGTATGAGAAACATGGGTTTTGACAGTAGAAGAAATACCTTGGGGTGGGGAAACTAAGGAACTACTATCGACAGATTTTTCCGTGTGATCATATTTGTATATTTTCCTTTCAGCTTGAAATAGCTGCAGTTCTGGTAGGTGTGACTGTAAGTTTAATCCAAGTTGATTTTTAATAGGCTTGTTTTGTACACCATCCTTTCTACCACGCATGTCTCTTCTACCAATGAGACTTTCCTTATAGGTCACACACACTCGTTTGTAATGTCTTTCATCATGTCTCCACTGACACTGAGAGTCATGTACATTTTTCTGGGTTTCACTGAAGCAAAAATCTTCTATGTCGTGGCTTTCAGGTCTTTCCAACATTACTGTCTGGAATATTTCTCCTGTATTACTCTCCTTTTTTGTTGGTAATTCCTTGATCTCATATTTAGAAAAAATACCTATAAGACATAAGGAACCCACAGTTTCCAATTAATTACAGATAGTCAATAAATATCTCCTATTGAAATATGTAATATTACATAAGAGTAATACTTATGTTAAAGGAAATTATAAAACTCCCAATCATGATTTTTAATTTTTTGGAGAACAAAAGGAACAGATATTTTCTTTTCTTTTTAAGATGGAGTCTTGCTCTGTCGCCTAGGCTGGAGTGCAGTGGCGCAATCTCGGCTCACTGCAAGGTCCGCCTCCCGGGTTCACGCCATTCTCCTGCCTCAGCCTCCCAAGTAGCTGGGACTACAGGCGCCCGCCACTATGCCCGGCTAATTTTTTATATTTCTAGTAGAGACGGGGTTTCACCATGTTAGCCAGGATGGTCTCGATCTCCTGACCTCATGATCCGCCCACCTCAGCTTCCCAAAGTGCTGGGATTACAGATGTGAGCCACCGCACCCGGCCAGGAACAGATATTTTCTAATAGAGAAAGGGTGACTGCACATAATTCAAACTAACTGCAGAACAGTAGTATAAAGAAAGCTACGACCAACCACTTACATTGCAAAAATTAGGTTAGCTCCCCAAAAAGGAGAATTTTTCCAACATGAAGCCTGGGCATACTGCAATAGAAGGGAAACATGGCTGTCTAGTAATTGAAAAGAATTTTGGAATTGGGAAATTTATTGACTAAGGTCAGAGAAAACATTCTTTGGAGCAAACTGAAAAATAAAAGGTATACAACACAATGAAGGCACCCATGGTCTACATGTTTGCACTGACCAAAATTAGTCTACTAAGATCCTATTCCCCAATATTATGTTATTGGAAGTGGGGACATTGGGCAACAATTAGGCCATGAGGAGGAAGCTCTAATGAACAGGATTAGTGCCTGTATAAGGAAAACCACTAGAGTGCTTGCTTCCTTTCACTCTGACATATGAGACACAGCAAGAAGCTGGCTGGGGCAAGGTGCGGTGGCTCAGGCCTGTAATCTCAGCAATTTGTGAGCCCAGGGTGGGTGAATCATCTGAGGTCAGGAGTTTGAGACCAGCCTGTCCAACATTATTAAACCCCATCTCTACTAAAAATACAAAAATTAGCAAAACTCCATTAAAAAAAAAAAAGCAGACTAGGGTAAAATAGAAAGAAGGCACCACCCAGGAAGTGTTTTTATGCATCTTGGACTTCACTGCTTACAGATTTATGAGAAATTATTTCCTGCAGTTTAAGGTGTTAAGCATCTCAATCTACAGTATTTCTTACGGTAGGTTGAGGTGGTTAAGACATGAAAAGCTCTATCTAATAAACCTGACAGAGACTGATAAATCTTTTTTCTTAACTAAAGTAACTTTTCCATCTTCACAAAAACTCTGCAGTATTCCCAGCCATCTACCAACAAACACTAACTTGCCAAAAGAAATTTGGAGTAAATTATTGCTTTTCAAATAAATATAGTAGGTCCACCAATTTACACTGAAAGTAAGTGAGGTCAATGGTATTTGATCTTGGGCTGCAGAACCAGACATGTTCTTAAAAGTGGATGTAGTATTGACCTGGCAATCCTATTACTGGGTATATATCCAAAGGATTATAAATCATTTTACTATAAAGACACACGCACATGTATATTTCTTGCACCAATAGTTACAATAACAGACTTAGAACCAACCCAAATGCCCGTCAAGGATAGACTGGTTAAAGAAAATGTGGCACATGTATTCCATGGAATGCTATGCAGTCATAAAAAAGAATGAGACTGGCAGGACACAGTGGCTCACACCTGTAATCCCAGCACTTTGGAAGGCTAAGGTGGGCAGATCACCTGAGGTCAGGAGTTGGAGATCAGCCTGACCAACATGGTGAAACCCCGTCTCTACTAAAAATACAAAATTAGCCAGACAAGGTGGTGCATACCTGTAATTCCAAAAAAGAATGAGATCATGTCCTTTGTAGGGACATGGATGAAGCTGAAAGCCATCATGCTCAGCAAACTAACACAGGAACAGAAAACCAAACACTGCATGTTCTGACTCATAAGTGAGTTGAACAATTAGAACACGTGGACACAGGGACAGAAACAACATACAGCAGGGCCTATCGGGGTGGGGGGCAAGAGGAGGGAGAACATTGGGAAAAACACCTAATGCATGCAGGGCTTAAAACCTAGATGACGGGTTGATGGGTGCAGCAAATCACCATGGCACATGTATACCTACGTAACAAACCTGCACATTCTGCACATGTACCCCAGAACTTAAAGTAAAATTTAGACAGTGGCATGTCAGCCATCATACAGAGCAGACATTGGTTTAGGCTGTGTCCTGAGAAGACTGTCCAATGGATAAGCATGTGTCTTTCCTTACATAATGAGAGTAGTGTGGGGTCTGAGAGAGTACTGTGGATATTGAGGTGGTCAGAAATATAATATGTTAATAAGTGACAGTAGGCCGGGAGCAGTGGCTCATACCTGTAATCCCAACACTTTGGGAGGCTCAGGCAGGTGGATCACCTGAAGTCAGGAGTACAAACCCAGCTTGGTCAACATGATGAAACCCTGTCTACTAAAAAGACAAAAATTAGCTGGACGTGGAGTTTGGCACCTGTAATCCCAGCTATTGGAAAGGCTGAGGCAGTCGAATGACTTGAACCTAGGAGGAGGAGATAGCAGTGAGCAGAGATCATGCCACTGTACTCCAGCCTGAGCAACAGAGCAAGACTCCATGTGAAAAAATATATAATTATAGTTCATCAGTTAAAATTTTGACTTTAGTGGAAAAGAACTGATTTAATAAAGAGCATTAATAATATTGCATCCTTGCCTGGGCATGGTGGCTCACACCTGTAATCCCAGCACTTTGGGAGGCAGAGGCAGGCAGATCGCGAAGTCAAGAGATCGAGAATATTCTGGCCAACATGATGAAACCCTGTCTCCACTAAAAATGAAAAAATTAGCCGGGCATGGTGGTGCATGCTTGTAGTCACAACTACTCAGGAGACTGAGGTAGGAGAATCAATTGAACCTGGGAGGCAGAGGTTGTAGTGAGCCAAGATCGTGCCATTGCTCTCCAGTCTGATGACAGAGCAAGACTCGGTCTCAAAAAAAAAAAAAAAAAAAAAAAACAGTACCCTATCTTCAACTCTGGGAAAAATTGCAATTGTGCAGCAAAAATGGAAGAGATTTTTAAAAGTCAGTATGATAAGGTGGGAAGGAAGCAGGTTTACATCTCTTACAATGTATCTTATGAAATTTGTCAAACTGAATGACCTATGAATTCTATTTATAGGCACATATTCAACAAATCCAACGTATAGATTCAGCATGATTTCAGCTCACCTCTTTCTCCCATGTTGAAGAGATTCTCTTGCCTCAGTCTCCTGACTACAGGCACCCGCCACCACGCCCGACTACTTTTTGTATTTTTAGTAAAAACAGGGTTTTATGTTGGCCAGGCTGGTCTCAAACCCCCGACCTCAAGTGTTCCGCTTGCCTCAGCCTCTCAAAGTGATGGGATTACAGGCAGCCACTGCATGTGGCCATTTTTCCTATTTCAAATAGACAACCAGACTATTTGAACAAGTACAGAGGGCTCTGTGCAGTATCCTGCGCCCCAGATGCAAAGGAAGAGCAGCCCAGATTTTTCTATCTCCTAATTAGGTGTTCCAAGTACAGGAAATGGGATGGAACCTGAATAGGTCAAGGGGCAGGTGTATCTAGAGGGACGGGGCAGTTCTGATCTATAGGGACAGAGAATGGAGCATCAGATGGAATCAAGTACAGAAGGAGAGACCACAGGGGAAAGAGACCCCTTTGACACAGCCCGCCCTGTGCCGCAGAGTCAAGAAAACAAAGAGGTGACAGAAGCCAGATGACAGGGTGCTGCTCATCAGGATAAACACCCTGCCTTTGTCTCTGAGCTGCAGCAGCACCACTAGAGGGCAAAAGGTCAAACTAACACACGTCTCAAGAGCACAGGGCACAGGCGTGGTGGCTCACCCCTGTAATCCCAGCACTTTGGGAGGCTGAGGCAGGCAAATCACCTGAGGTTGGTAGTTCGAGACCAATCTGGCCAACATGGCAAAACCTCGTCGCTATTAAAAATAGCGCTATTAAAAATAGGTGTGGTGGTGGTGCATACCTGTAAAAAGAAAAGAGAAAAAGAGCGAGCAGAGGGATAAGTGGGGCAAAGAAATATGTCCATTCAGAGATCTCAGGATTTAAATGATGCTTTTCCCATAGAATTCTCTCACTTGCAAAGAGTTTCCCCACACACTATTTGAAGATGGAGCTTCCACTCTGCCCATCTGACCTCTTACCTGTGTTTACATCTGTAAAACATTCCCAGCCGCTCATGCCTGTAAGTAACCCCAGTACTTTGGGAGGCCGAGGCAGGTGGATCACAAGGAGACCATCTTGGCCAAACTGGTGAAATCCCGTCTCTACTAAAAATACAAGAATTAGCTGGGCGTGGTGGCATGTGCCTGCAGTCCCAACTACTCAGGAGGCTGCGACAGGAGAACTGCTTGAACCCAAGAGGTGGAGGTTGCGGTGAACTGAGATCGTGTCACTGCACTCCAGCCTGGGTGACAGAGTGAGACTCTGGCTCAAAAAAATAATAATAATAAATAATCCCCACCCATCTGAATTTTTTTTGCTATTTTCACTTTATGTTACATAGTCCAGGGCTCTTTGCCTTGCTCCAACAGGTCAGAAAGAGACTCCTGCTTGTAAAAAGTAGGAAACATGACATGTTGGAGCTTTTCTAGAGCCCCAGCCCTACGTTTCTGTAGGAAAGAAGACATTACAGATGGACCTAGGAAAATATTTCAAATTCCTCCATTGCCTGCCTTATTCTGAATCCTTAAAGAGCATTGTAATGTGTGGACATCAAGCTCTCTTCCAAGAACTACTGAATCGAAAGCACAGGAGTAGCAAACAGAAATCTGGATATCTTTAAAGTCTGCCATAAGATTTTGTTTTTGTTTTTTGAGACAGAGTCTCGCTCTGTTGCCAGGGTTGGAGTGCAGTGGCGTGTTCTCAGCTCACTGCAACCATTGCCTCCCAGGTTCAAGTGATAATCTTACCTCAGCCTTTCTAGTAGCTGGGATTACAGGCGTGTGCCACCACACGACATTTCACCATGTTGGTGAGGCTGGTATCGAACTCTTAACCTGAAGTGATCCACAAGCATTGGCCTCCCAAAGTGCTCGGATTACAGGCATGAGTCACCATGCCTTGCCAGCCATAAGGTTTTAAGCCTACTTTACTTCTGGAAACCCCACTGAACTATCATGAAGAATGCAGAACATCTAAACAAAGGGCACACTGAAAGTCCAGATGCTACATCATGATGCTTTTCATTTTGAAATCAATACAGCTTCCATTTTAGTCAAGCAAGGATGGGGCTCCCAGGAGGCAACAGGAGAAAATACGAAGATATGCAAGGGCACACCCCCACCTCTGGAGGGAAGTTATCCTCACCCAGGGAGACGAGGTTCCTATAATTCTCCAACATCACGTTTCTGTATAAAGTTCTCTGAGCAGGGTCCAGGCATTTCCACTCCTCCTGAGAGAATTCTATGGCCACATCCCTGAATGTCAGTAGACCCTGAAATGAAAACACATTTTAACCAAATGCTTATGGGAGGAGTTCTTGTCTTTACAGAAGTGAGAAGAGGAGAGTGGTGACAACAAGGATTTAATTGTAGTGAATGTTCTGACAAATCTGAGTATGGGATTTTTCACAACATGATGTCTTCCCAGTGGTGTTTTATTATACTTTTTGAAGAGGTCATAATACCCTCTCCGTATAAATTTCTTATGTTTGTGAAGAATACAAGAGACGCTCAAATAAATAATAAATGCCTGGTTCCCATTATAGAAAAGTTAAAAACTTTTGGCCAGGTGCAGTGGCTCACACTTGTAATCCCAACACTTTGGGAGGCTGAGGCAGGTGGATCACAAGGTCAGAAGTTTGAGACTAGCCTGGACAATCTGGTGAAACTCTGTCTCTACTAAAAATACAAGCATTAGTTGGACATAGTGGTAGATGCCTGTAGTCCCAGCTACTCAGGGGGCTAAGGCAGGAGAATTGCTTGAACCCGGGAGGTGGAGGTTGCGTGAGCCGAGATCGCACAGTTGCACTCCAACCTGGGCAACACAGACTCTGTCTCAAAAAGAAAAAATGTTAGAAATTTTTATTGACACACCAAGTCACACTCAGTATATCTAGATGAGATAGAGCATGAGTAATGCCTTCAAAGATGACAATATTCACAGTGAAATGTCAGCCGGGCTCAATGGCTCATGCCTGTAATCCCAGCTACACAGGAGGCTGAGGCAGGAGACTTCCTTGATCCTGGGAGGCAGAGGTTGCAGTAATCCAAGATCACACCACTGCACTCCAGCCTGTTCAACAGAAATTCCATCTCAAAAAATAATAAATAAAAAATTAAAAAATTTAGCTGGGCATGGTGGCAGGCATCTATGGTTCCAGCTGCTTGGAAGGCTGAGGTGGGAGGATGTCTTTACCCTGAGGATAGAGGTTGCAGTGAGCTATGATAGCACCACTGAGCTTCAGCCTGGGCAACAAAGTGAGGCCCCATCTCAAAATAAAATACATGAAAACAAAATTACTCAAAGTACAAACAAACATTTTGTATATATATATCCACAAAATAATAAAATATACACAGACTCACAAAAAACTAGAGTTGAATGCAAAGGGTTGTCATTTTCCCCAGATTTTCAAAATATGTACGTGTGTGTGTATATATATATAAAGGTTTTAAAAATATAAAAAGTAGCAAGTTTTGTTTAACTGAAGAGGAATCTCATCTTGGTGGAAAAGGATATTTTGGCAGTTGGGGGCAGGGGGAATCTGTTCAGATCTAAGAAAACAGCAGATTACCCATCCTAGAAGCAATCACTCTTTTAACAGCCTTCCCTGGAGGAATCCTCAGATATTGGTAGTAATGCAGGCGAGCACAGAGGCAGTGACTATGACACTCTTTATACAGAGAAAAGTCACAAAGGACCCACATGTCATTCAGCCAATTTCCATGCAGGTGTCAAAGAGGAAGGTAGCCATGTTTACTAACATGAGAACGTGTAAATTTTCACAACCAGCAGGATCAAATATCAGAGTAAAAATATTTACTAAAACACAAAGAACAACAACAGACACTGGGCGTCAGGCCTCTGAGCTCAAGCCTGCATGTATACATCCAGATGGCCTGAGGCAACCGAAAAGTACAAAGGAAGTGAAACAGTCAGCTCCTGTCTTAACTGATTGACCAACCTTATGACATTCCATTATGACTTGTTTCTGTCCTGTCCCAACTGATTGATGGATCAACCTCATGACATTCTTTTTCTGGACAATGAGTCTTATGATCTCCCCACCATGTACCTTGTGACTCCCTCCTCTGCTGACAATAGATAACCCACCTTTAACTGTAACTTTCCACTGCTTACCCCAGTCCTATAAAACTGCCTCTCATTTATCTCCCTTTGCTGACTCCTTTTTCGGACTCAGCTTGCCTGCACCCAGGTAAAATAAGCAGCCTTGATGCTCACACAAAACTTGTTTGGTGGTCTCTTCACACGGACATGCATGACATTTGGTGAGACCCAGGACAGGAGGACTCCTTCGGGAGACTGACCTCCTGTCCTGGCCCCCACTCCATGAGGAGATCCACCTACGTTACGACCTCGGGTCCTCAGACAAACCAGCCCAAGGATTCAAATTGGGTAAGTGGTCTTTTTACTCTCTTCTCCAACTTTTCTCACTATCCTTAAACCTTTTTCTTCTTTCAATTTCAGCACTGCCTTTCAGTCTCTCCCTTCCCTTAATTTCAGTTCCTTTCCTTTTCTGGTAGAGACAGAGGATACTTGTTTTATCCATGAACCCAAAACTCCGGCGCTGGTCACAGACTTGGGAAGACAGTCTTCCCTTAGTGTTTAATCACTGTAGGGATGCCTGCCTGATTATTCACCCACATTTCAGATTTGTTTGATCACCGCAGGGACACCTGCCTTGATCCTCCACCTTGGTGGCAAGTACCACTGCCTCTGGGCAGCAAGTACCACCCTCCACTTGTGTCTCTACCCCGCTTTTCTCTAAACTTATCTTTTTACTATGGGCAACCATCCGCCCTCCATTCCTCCTCCTTCCCCCTTAAGCCTGTGTTCTTAAAAACTTGAAACCTCTTCAACTCCCACCTGATCTAAAACCTAAGCATCTTATTTTCTCCTGCAACACTGCTTGGCCCCAATACAAACTTGATAATGGCTCTAAATGGCCAGAGAATGGCACTTTTTATTTCTCCATCCTACAAGACCTAAGTAATTTTTGTCATCAGATGGGCAAATGGTCTGAGGTGCCTTATGTCCAGGCATTTTTTACACTTTGCTCCCAGTCCCAAATCCTTCTTTCCCTCCCGCCTGTCCCTTCAGTCCCAAACCCAAGTGCTGCTGAGTCTTCTGAATCCTCCTTTTCTGCAGACCCCTCTTTCCTCTCTCCCCCTTCCCAGGCCACTCCTCAGCAGGCTGAATCAAGATCTGATTCTTCTTCAGCCTCTGCTCTCCCACCTTATAGCCCTGCTGTCACCTCCCCTCCCCACACCCAGTTTGGCTTACAATTTCGTTCTGCAGCGAATATTCCCCCACCTGCCCAACAATTTCCTCTTCAAGAGGTGGCTGGAGCTGAGGGCATCGTCAGAGTGCATGTACCATTTTCTCTATCAGACCTTTCCCAAATTAATCAGTGCTTAGGGCCCCTTCTCATGAGACCTCATTAAAGATATACAGGAAATCCAGTATTTAACTGAGTACTACAACTTAACCTAGAGTGACTTAAATGTCATCCTAACTTCTACCCTTTCCCCAGATGAGCGAGATAGAGTTTATACCCTAGCCCAGTCCCACACTGACAGCCACTGTCATCATGAGCAAGACCTTCAAGAAGGCATCAGTATAGTTGCCCAAGAAGATCCCAAGTGGGAATACCAGACAGGCTCGCCAGGTGTAGGTAGGTGAGATTATATGATTTCCTGCCTAGCTGAAGTGCTTAAAAAGGCAGATTTCAAAGCTGTTAATTATGACAAACTTAAACTACCCAAGGTAAAGATGAAAACCCAGCCTAGTTCATGGTTCATCTGGCAGCAACACTGAGACACTTCACAGCCCTAGACCCTGAAGGGTCAGAAGGCCATCTCATTCTCAATATGCATTTTATCAACCAGTCAGCTCCTGACATTAGAAAAAAGCTTCAAAAATTGGAATCCATTCCTCAAACCCCACAACAGGAATTAATCAATCTCGTCTTTAAGGTGTGAAATAATAGGAGGCAGCCAAGTGGCAATGCATTTCTGAGTTACAATTGCTTGCCTCTGCTGTGAGACAAAACTAAGCTGCACCTCCAGCACACAAGAACTTCAAAATGCCTAAGGTGCAGTGGTCAGGCATTCCTACAGGACCTCCTCCCTCAGGATCCTGTTTCAGGTGCCAGAAATCTGGCCACTGGGCCAAGGAATGCCTGCAGCCAGGGATTCCTCGCAAGCCATGTCCCATCTGTTCAGGGACCCATTGGAAATCAGACTGCCCAGCTCACCCAGCAGCCACTCCTAGAGCCCCTAAAGCTCTGGCCCCGTGCTCTTTGACTGACTACTTCCCAGATCTGCTCAGCTTAGCAGCTGAAGACTGACACTGCCCCATCACCTCGGAAGACCCCTGGACCATCAGGGATGCCAAGCTTTGGGTAACTGTCACAGTGGAGCATAAGTCCATCCCCTGTTTAATTGATATAGGGGCTACTCACTACACATTACCTTCTTTTCAAGGGCCTGTTTCCCTTGCCTCCATAACTGTTGTGGGTATTGAAGGCCAGGCTGCTAGACCCTTTAAAACTTCCCAATTTGGTGCCAACTTGAACAATATTCTTTTATGCACTCCTTTGTTATCCCCACCTGCCCAGTTCCCTTATTAGGCTGAGACATTTTAACCAAATTACCTGCTTCCCTGACTGTTCCTGGACTACAGCCACATCTCATTGCTGCCCTTCTTTCCAACCCAAAGCTACCTTCACGTCTTCCTCTTGTCTCCCCTGACATTAACCCACAGGTATGGGACACCTCTACTCCCTCCCTGGCAACCAATCACACACCCATACCTAATCACCCTTACCCTGCTCAACACCAGTATCCCATCCCACAACAGGCTTTAAGGGGATTAAAGCCTGTTATCACTCGCCTTCTACAGCATGAGCTTCTAAAGTCTACAAACTCTCCTTACAATTCCATTTTACCTGTCCAAAAAATGGACAAGTCTTACAGATTGGTTCAGGATATGTGCCTTTTAAACCGAATTGTTTTGCCTATCCACCCTGTGGTGCCCAACCGGTACACTCTTTTGTCCTCAATATCTCCCTCCACAACTCACTATTCCATTCTTGATCTTTTTTTTTTTTTTTTTTGAGACAGGGTCTGGCTCTGTCACCCAGGCTGGAGTGCAGTGGTGTGATCTTGGCTCACTGCAAGCTCTGCCTCCCAGGTTCCCACCATTCTCCTGCCTCAGTCTCACAACTATTCCCCTGCACACCTTGTCTCA